GGCGTATCTCTTGGCACACTAATGAACTATCTTACAAATATTAAGATAAAGATTTACTTTTTAAATCAAAATGGAATTGATTCGATGGTATTAAAGTAAAATTTTTTATTATTAAAAAAAAAGATCTGAATATATTTAGTTGAGAATTGCTTCCATGTTTTTAATCCATATGAGTTGAATTATGCAATATATATTCGCGAAAGAAGATTCAGTAGATTGATTTATTAAAGAAAATATCATTCTGTTAAATTTATCAATGGTCTATGCGTGCTTTTATGTATAATCAGATATATGATAGTCGACGTCCTGTCGAAAGAAATACTGTTCCATCGTGTTAGCGTCAACAGATGACACTATGTCAACGCTAACTTTATTGAACGAAGTTCAATTGGTTTCGTCTTATTTTATCATTTGTCAGCGTCTCCATTTTCGTTCTGTAGTTAATTGGATTTTTCTCTTTCGTTCGTTCAGTAGTAAGATTTCTCTTTTTCGTTCTGTCTATCTCTCTCTTGAGAATTTTCTCAGATTTTGATATCGTTCAGTTGCTATTTTGTTTCGATGCAGAGCAGTAGCATTTATTACTACCTCTCCTGTGTGTGTGTTATTTTGTCTTCATGAAATAAATTATCCAGTTGAACTAATCTCACATCCCCTCCATAGCTGATCACGTTACCTTTGGCCATCAAGGTAAGACCCCTTTATATTCTATTATAACATCATCACAAACGTTGACCTAACACACCTATAATTATTGTTACAGTGGCTATTTATTTAATTGATTCTGATCCCAGTTTTGATAAGTTAATTTTACATCATATGGATTTTGTTCTTGAAATTAGTTTTAGTAGTAATCATATCAAGAAAATAACGATAGTTTATTTGTCTTAATAGGCCCTAGGGCATTAATCTTCTCAATAAAGCATAAACAAACAAAAGAAAATAACGATAGTAGTAAATAAAATAAAGCTGTTAGTTTTCTATCGATGTTTTGACCAATTAAATAAAATATTTTAATGTTTAAAGAGGAAAAATAGCATCAATTTTCATTCGTTTTTTTCTTTCCATCTTTTCCTTTTTTCCAATTTCTTTTATTTCAGATATAGTGAATCATTTCATTCATTTGTTGTCTTTAGTAACATCATGGATTTAATCCATTCTTCTCTCTTCCTTTTACCATATCATCGACTCTTAGCATACTTGTTTACAAATATATTAGAACTTTGTTTTTTTTAGATGGATTTGGAACAAACTGATTCACCACAAGAAAATATTCGTTCGTCTTATCCAGTAAATAAATATATCAAATATTTGTAAAATAAGTTTCATTTTTTATTTAGACATCTACACAATCAACTGATGATGGTAAAATTCCAGTATCAGAGATGGACGAGCCGCGGTGTAACACCGCCCCGCCCCGCCGACGGGGGCGGTGCGCAAACTTGACGGGGCGGGGCGGTGACGATGCATGACGAAATTTCGCGGTTTCCCCACCTTTGTATAACCTTCATTTTTTAAATATACTCAGATCTTTAGTGCCATCGTTTAAAAATTTTTAAAACTTTTTCACACAAAACTAATTAGTAAAAAGAAGCTTGTTAGTGCAGCTCCAAAGGAGCTAAAATGTGGAACCCACGTATATTTTCAAAATTTTTTATCCTGATGCCTAATTTTTAAATTGTAAAATACCTTTTTTTCGAATACGTATGAAATAATTGATATATTATATAAAAATTAGAGCCCTTTATGCGCGGTTGCTGAGGTCTATAATGGTGGATTGTCTGTAATCATGAGATGTCTGTAATGGGGGGGTATGTCTGTAATTGGGGCATATCTGTAATGTTCTCTTTCCGATTGCTATGTGTCTGTAATGGGATGGGGAGAGGGGAGGGGGAGCCGCCAAACCTCAAACTTAAAACATACACTTACTATTTTCTTCGAAAATATAAGTGAGTTTCACAAAATGAGTGATTTTATTATAATTGTTTTCCATTTTCATGTTTATTTTTTTTCTATTTTGAAATGATGTTTATGCATTTAAAATATGCCTTTTCATCTCATGAAATAAAATAGTCATTATCAAAGTTTAAGGAAAAATTTGTCGAGAAACAGTTTTTGAAAACATTTTCGACGGGGCGGGACGGGGCGGGACGGGGCGGTGACGATGCGGAATTTTATCAACGGGCGGGATGGGGCGGTGACGGCGCGGCTTTTTTGCTGGCTCGTCTATCTCTGTTGTGAACTAAACGCAAATGAAGGTCTTTGGTGCAATCAAAAGGCATTTGTTCGTTTACGTACAGATCAAAGTTTTGAAAAAATGATAAAATTAATAGTGGATTCTCGTATACATTTTATCGAATGAAATATTGCATTAAAATTATTCCCACGGTTTTGGCGTTCCATCGAAACATATTCTCAAGGTCAAACGCATATTGATGTATTAAAACTGTTTTTCAGTCAACTTTGCAAAACATCAGTTCAATCACATCGTAGAATATGAAATAAAAACATAAACAAACCTTCCTGAACATATTCTTTTCTATTTCAATACATTTATTCAGCGTGTCTCCATTCATATTGTATAACCAAGCATGAAGAGTGATTAATCTGTCCATTAAAGATCATAAAATATCGATTAATATCACAAAACTATGTTCTTTCCAGGGAAGGTTTTCCAAAGACTTCTTGAAGATCTTCTAGAAATTTCGAAAGTATGTCCATTCGATTTGTCATCGGTTTTCACCTATTTGAATAGATTATTCACTCGGTTTGAAGAAGAAATAGACATTTTATTCAAAGATAACCTTCGCTTTTGTCCTATGATACTAGTACAAACGATTTTTCTGAACATAGAAAAGAGAAGAAAAAAAAAGCAATGCGTAACTTTGTGACTGGTGCTATGATGAGTCGAATGAGATAAAATATATGACTCTATCACTTACGTAGAAAGACTAGATAGGTTTACAAAATCGACCTATATGTGATGCACTCGACGCAAATCGAAGCGCCATCACAAATAGAGTTTTGGATCTGTAGTCGATTTAACAACTTATTTCCACTCAGTTTTTGATGCTGAATCTGAAAAATTATTTTCAGAAGCAAAAAAAGAATAAAGTAGAAAGTTTTGTACGTTTCGAGAAAGGATGTTTTTTTTCTCGAAAAACGACACCGTTCGAGTATTTCGTATTTTTCAACCGGAAGGAAGCATTTGCTAAAGCAAAAAAGTAGATTTTTGTAACCAACAGCTTAATCTCTATCCCATGATGTAAAAAAATGCGAAAAAAATTTTACTTGAAGTTCGAATTACCTGCACCTTACTTTATTGGACGAAGTTTCATTCAATTTTCTCATTGTTCAACTGAGAGAATTCATATCTGAAACATAATATTAAAAAAAAAAACTAATAATCCTTTAAGATTGAGTATACATTCAATAAGATGTGCAAGAAAACATGTATAACGAACAGACGTAAGGTGCCGGAAATGCAAAATTGGAGTGGATTTTATTTCTCGTTC